GTGATCATGGCAAAGCGCAGAGAGCTCCCTACTCCCACCAAACACCTTTGCTGCAGACCCAAGACCTTTGGCACCCGCCGATGTTGCTTTCCCTTCTGCCCATTCTGCCACCACGTTTGGAGCTGCTGCTTCCGTGTTTGGAGTGCTGCTGCCATTTGGAGTGCCACCGCCATTTGGCGCACCGCCGCCACGTTTGGAGCTGCCGCTTCCGTGTTTGGAGTGCCGCCACCATTTGGAGCACCGCCGCCACGTTTGGAGCTGCCACTTCTGCGTTTCGAGCTGCCGCGTGTTTGGAGTGGCGGCGGTGCTCCAAATGGCGGCGGTGCTCCAAACAGCGGCAGTGCTCCAAATACGGATATGGCAACTCCAAACGCGGCAGTGCTCCAAACAGCGGTGGGGTTCCAAATGCAGAAGCAACAGCTCCAAACGGTGGCGGTGCTCCAAATGTAGAAGTGGCAGCTCCAAACGTGGCGGTGGTATGGGCAGAAGGGAAACCAACAGCGGCAAGCACTGAAGGTCTCGGGTCTGCAGCAAACATGCTTGGCAGGAGTAGGGAGCTCTCTGCGCTCTGCTATGATTGCCCATTAGGAGCAGCTGGCGACGAGGAATTGCTGCCCGCGGGGTGCTCCTAAGGGCAAGTCCCCCTGCCCTTCCCCCTTATTTTGCATGTTTTAAAATAGGCCTAAATTTGGGGGGAGGGGCTTAATTTGATTTTATGCCAATAAAACATGCTGGGCCTTCCTATTGGTGGAGGCTGTAATGTTGGAGAAACGCTGTACAAATATGTGGTAATATGTGATATAAATATCTGGCTGCAAATTTAGCATAATTCTGTCATTCAACTGCAGTTTAATTTTGTTCTATAAAAAAGAAGATGTAAGTTTTATAAAGGCAAGTATGAGAGTCATTGCTTATCATCTGTCTTGTTTGGAATGTTACCTTGCTATAAAAAAGGCTGTTACAACCATAGTAGCATCTCATGGTCATGTGATCATCATTTGGATACTTCATAACCAGCATACCCTTGCAACATTTGGCAGCCACATGGTCACCAGTTGTGTGCTCTGCAACAGGCTTATGACAGAAGTAATAGAGAAAGTAGAAATTAAATCATAAATCATAGTCACATGATGTTTTGCTTAATGATCCCAATACTTTACTTAACAATTAAAGGAGTAGTGAGATCATAAACCCGTCACAGTCACGTGATGTTTTGCTTAGTGATTGCGGCATTTAATGGCGCTACTGGTCCCAGTTGTGGTCATTAAGTGAGGACTCCCTGTATCCTCTCAAATTTGACCATTGCTGTCAATGGCTTTTGTCTTAGTCCTGTCTTCCTCAGAGATTTGTTTTGAAGATAAAATGAAGAAAAGTATGTTGCCTTGAATTATCTGAGAAAAAAAAGATACAAATGCAAATTACACAATGAAGTCATTACAGTGGTAGAAGCTATATGGCTTTGTTATCAATAATGTGTTAATAGTAAACTGAATAAGAAAAAATTTAGATAGGCTTTTGAATTGACTTACAAAATTATGATTAAATACAAAGGAGAAATCAAAGTATTAAATACAAAAAAAGATCTTTAACTTTACATTATAAATGAACTTGAGCAATTTTTGTTTACTTTTTAAAAAAATACTATGTTCTTCACAATGAACAGATGTTCATTGCCATCTGTTAAAATAATTGGTCTTGGCATCAAGCTTTTCATGTGAACTTAGATTTTTTTTAAAATGTAGGAGTAAGAAATGGTGTGCAATAGGAAATTTTTTTTTTTACTTCGGATGCTAGCTTTACGTAGACCATGGGTGTCAAATTTGATTGCATCATGTGATGTCATGTGTATCACGACATTTTTTTGCCTTTGTGGAGCCAGGGTGACCGTGACCTGCGTGTGATGCATCTGGCCTGCAGGTTGCCAGTTTGATACCCCTTATGTACAATATGAACATAAAGCTCATTTAACATTTTTTCTACTTTGAGAAACATCCGCACTGCTAAAATCAATTAATCAAATTATTTGATTTATTTTTCAAAATGTATTTAATTACTGTGCTTCTAAATTACCCAATATATGCAGCTCCAGCATAGACATATTTTAAGGTACTTAAAACAATAGGAAACACTGGCTGCCCGTATCTCTTGCGAGTAAAGACAAATATATGTGTCCCAGGATAATTTTGTAGGATCCAGTCTGAGTCAACACCAGGACCAAAGTTCTTTTTCTCCCAAGTTTTCAGTCTCTCTCTCTCTCTCTCTCTCTCTCTCTCTCTCTCTCTCCCTCCCTCCCTTCCTCCCTCCCTCCCTCCCTCCCTCCCTCTCTTCTCTCTCTAATATGTGCACTGGACTGTTGTATTTATATGGTCCCTGATTGTGTGTAGCTTTTAGTTGCTAATTAGGGAGTTGGTAGCTGGATATTAAGTCATTGATTGTTGTTTCCTTGTGCTGTTGAGCTCCTAAGTACCTGATAGGAAACAGTATAAGGAACAGTATCTGATAGGAAACAGTATAAGCAAAAGTTGTAAGAAATCACAATAATTAAAATCACAATATGGACTGAACTTACTCCATCCCTCTGGGCCCACCACCTCTAGTGATCACAGAAAAAGATGTGTGAGGTCTATTTTACAGACAAAAGCATGGAAAAGCACCAGGCCCTTACAAGGTAACTCCTCTTGGTTGAAAGTTTGTGCCCCCATCTACACCGTTAATAAATCACTAGAGATTTCCTTGGTGCTTCAAACACTTTACTATCATTCCATGTAGCTGAACAACTACAGACCAGTTACTCTGACATCCGTAGTTGTGAATACCTTTGAAAGGTTAGTGCTGGTCCACCTGAAAACCATCACAGACCTGCTGTTAGACGCCTTGCAATTTGCCAACCGAGCAAATAGATTGGCAGATGATGCTATTGATATAGCACTGCACAACATCTTGCAACATTTTGAATCTCCAAGGACCTATGCAAGGGACTTTTTTGTAGACTTCAGCTCGCATACAATACCATCATTACGGATATTTTTCTCACTAAACTGACTCAGTTAATTGTGTTTGACCACACTTGTAAGTGGATCATAAGCTTTCTAACAGATGGAAAGCAGCAGGTAAAGCTAGGCAAAATCATATCAAATACCTGTACAATTAACACAGGTGCCCCTCAGGGTTGTATGCTCTCCCATTACTCTTTTCTCTCTACACTAACAACTGCATCACAAAAGATTCCTCTGTTAAAGTACTGAAGTTTGCAGATGATACAGCAGTGATTGGTTTCATTCAAGATGGTGAATCTGCATACAGATGGGAAATTGAAACAATTGGCCCTATGGTGCAGCCAAAACAATCTTGAATTGAATACACTCAAAACTATAGAGGTGATAGTAGATTTTAGGAGAAGCCTCCTAATCTTCCATCTCTTACAATACTAAACAACACAATACTAACAATAGTAACCTTCATGTTTCTAGGTTCTATAATAAGACACCTAACATCAAAAACATTATTAAAAAAGCACAACAAAAATGTTCTTCCTATAGCACCACTCAGAAAGCTCAGACTGCTCAAGGAGCTGCTGATACAGTTCTACAAAGGAATTATTGAGACTGTCATTTGCACCTTTGTAACTGTCTGGTTTGGCATAGCAAACAAGATAGACTTCAATGTTAGGACTGCAGAAAAAATAATTGCAACCAGCCTGCCTTTCATTGAGGACCTTATTCTGCACAAGCCAAAAAGAGGGCTGTGAAAATATCTACAGATACTTTCTCACATCCTGGACATAAACTATTTCAACTTCTTCCCTCAAGATGACACTACAGGGCATTGCACTCTGCTAAACAACTAATTCCCACAACATTGTTTTATGCCCTGGGATGTCAAACCATCTAGTAGGGCTGTATAACTATTATCCTTCTCATATTTCCTATTACTTATTTCCTTAGTTTCTTATGACTTGTTCTGACCCACGCCCTTTTCCAACAATTCAAACACAATCCAAAGGGAACAGAAACCTTATAATGCTTCTGCGAAATAATTAGGTGTGATAAACACAAGCCTTGCCAAACTGTGCAAGACTTGCCAAAAGATAACAGACAAGAAATAATTTGCAATACAAAAATCTTCAAACACAAACTCAGGATACTGGAATGTCCACGAGGCTGGAGTTTCAAAATGTCTTTGCCTTCTGCAAAGTACATTTGTTTCACAGCTGGTTTTTATCTTCTTGAAGGGGGGGGGGCATTACCTTACACCCTTACTCCTGAGTCTCCTGTGCTGTTGTAGCTGCTCTTTCCTATGAGCAATCCTGTGTGCACGTGCACTTGACACAGGCTCCTCAGGAACCTCTTCATCACTGCTGCCAGCCCCCACAATCTCTGAAGGCAGCAGTCCTCCCTAATGGTCCTGGCCCCTCATCTGAGTCCTCGCTCTCCTCAGCTGTCTGCACCTGCTGCCGGCTAACCACAGCATGACTATAACTTTGTTGTTTGTATGTCATGGTTGATGTTTATTGCTTCTGTGTAGTATCCTATTATGATTTATGTTGATTGCTTTTATTTAGTATCCTATGACTATCACTGAGGGTTGTATCTTATGATTTATGATGATTATATTTTGTGATCATGATTTACCACTTGTTGCTTGTGTATAGATTGAGAGCTTGTGCACCAGAGACAAATTCCTTGTGTGTCCAATCACATTTGGCCAATAAAGAATTCTATGCTGTTCTGTTTTTAAAACAATTGGGAAACAAATCTTTACAAAAAATGCTGTTAACTTGTTAGGTATGCAACCTTCACAGAAAACAAAATTTCTTTATCAAGATTTATTAAAAGAGGATAGCATAAGGAATCTGAACAATTTTCCAATACTTGATAAATGGTATAGAAATTGAACAATCATCATTTTATGCTCATAAATCTGATAAGAATATCATGACAAAATGCACTAAATATCATTTCTATGTATTTATTAACCCATTGGTGTTTTTCTTTGTCTAGCTGATTGTAATGCCATTTTTAAAGGTCTACAATCCATCTTCCAAAAGGAGGGAATGACAGAGACTATTCATAACTGGGAAAATCATGGTTACTTAGCAACATACGTCAGTAAAAATGGCTGGTAAGCTGAATTTTAATATACGCAATTTTTGGAAGTATGTTATAATTATCAATTATTTAATAGTTTGTCAAGGTTTCCTTTAAGAAGCTAAGTGAAGAGTATTCTTAATTTTTATTTTTATTTTTAAATTTTTATTTATTTTAATTTTAAAAAGTTTTAAGATTAATTTCTAATTAACTGTTATGAAAATAGAGAAAATGGTATATTAATAAAATTAACACATATTGCTGAAGCTTATTGTTAGGCAAACTCTAACATTTTGATGTTCGAATGTCTTAATGAAACTCATGGATGAAAATAATTATTTTTTAGAGAAGAGTAGAGTATTACAGATAACCTTATTACCCAACTGAGCGATATTTACCTAGAGACTATTTTGGTAAGTAGCTAATTTAGTTGATAGATTTTTTAATGGTTTCATCATATATCTCTAGGAAAGACAACAAAATCAAAGGAGGCCTTATTCATAACAAACAACTCCCTGTTGTCGTGATGGCGAACCTATGGCATGCGTGCCAGAAGTGGCATGCAGAGCCACTTCTGGCTTGTGAGAGGTTGCTCGGAAGAACCCCACTGCGCATGCGCGTACGCCCCTGCCAGCCAGCTGATTGTTGGGAATCTGCTGTGTGTGTGCGGGGAAAGATGCGCCTGGGAGACGTGCGCATACGCAGAGGCATGCAGCATGCGGGGCAGGTTGTGTGCACATGGGCAGAGACATGCGATGCGGAGGTTTGTGCGCACATTTGCAGAGGCGCGATGTGCGCGCAATGGGTCACGTACACTGGGCGGGGGGAGTCTCGCATGCATATGCATCACTGTAGTCACACACATGCACTTTTGGCACGCAGTGTGGAAAAGGTTAACCATCGTTGCCCTATTTGTCACAAATTACCAACATCACAGGTGACTATCATATAGTGTAGATGTTATCAAATTAATTCAACGAAAGCAACAAGAAATTTGGATAAACATTTTATTTATTTATGCTGAAATGGCAAAACAAAGCTTGACAAAAGATTTTTTTTCAATTCTTGATATTGTAGAGGGGGATATGTGGCTTTTTGGAGATCTGAATATTTTTTTCTCCAAATGTAAACAAATCTGTATCCAAAAGAAAACCTTGCAAAGTCTTCAAAAATGTCTTATATGAAATATTTTTGATTCATAATACAAATAACCTGGAAAAAAGAAAATATATGTTTTATTCAGTTCATGAAACTTGGGAAAATTGGGCACGTCCATTTTTCATATGATCTTTGTAGCATCCCCATGGTTATGCGATCAAAATTCAGATGATTGTCAACCGGTTCATCTTTATGACCATTGCTGTGTCCCAAGGTCATGTGATTTCCTTTTATGACTCTCTGACAATCAAAGTCAATGAGGAAGTCAGTGTCAGCCTCAGATCCATCTTGATGGATTTTGCGGGGGATGGACTTTGTCTTGGAGTTACAAATCGCATGGAGAGTTTAATTGGAACACTGACATTAACCCGAATTTCATTCTAAAGAAAATCCCAGTGGCTTCTTTCAAAGCGATGCTGCTGTCCAGGGTCCTAAGCCCCAAGACGCACCTTGGTATAACAGGGCGTAAAGAATCTGGGAAGATAGAACAGGGAACAGAAACCCCTGAAGGAGCTACCGGATCCACTCCAGAGGATGGTTGTGGAACTATCTGCTACCCATCAGCTGCGGCAGTGGCCGAAGCCGAGGCCATGGAGGCTGAACTCCGAAGGGGTGCCAGACCCAAGGAACCAACCCCATGGCAGACCCCCGCCAGCCGGACCAGCTGCACAGTTAGAGTTAGAGATGGTGATGATGGTCTCCGGGCCTCCAGGGGCATTAGGACAACTTGAACAAGTGGCAGCCTTTGAATGGAGACCATTGAGAACCCCTGGAGACTGGCGAGTTCAGGAAATGGAGGCTCCCACTGTCATCACGTAGCCAGTCACTTGCCGGGCTACCTGAGAAGTTTGATCTACTGAGTGTGGGACCCATGGTCCAGACATTTCCACACTTGATGCAGCCCAGTTGGATTCTAACCCAGCCTACATTCAACTTTCCAGGGTCAGGAAGCATAGCAGTCCAGAGTGGAGTGTCTGCTTCATTCCACTCAGCACTGGCAGGGCCAAGGCACAGCCTCCCGCTTCAGACCCCCTCCATCAGAGCTGTAGCCCAGCCAGCCACCGTGGCAGGATGACATCCCAGACCCTTAGGCCACTCAAACCCAGGGGGAGGTTTGCCAAGCTCTGCCCATCAACCCCCACCAGTGCCTGCCGGACTGCCACCCACCGACCAGGTTCCATCCGGGTGGGCCTTTTACCCAGGCCAAGATTGGATCCAGTACCAGTGGATGCCGGTTCCCGTCCCGTCATTGATCCCACCAACCGCAGCTGCCCCCTCAGCAGCTACCCCACCACAGTTCTTGGCCACCTTTGACGGCACCCCTGGAAAACTGGCCTATTTCCTAAAATGAATTTGGGCTCACATTGATCGATATGGGGCACAGTACCAGTCAGACCAGGACAAGTTCTCAGTCATTGCAGATAATATGAGAGAAGGGAAAGCAGCCAAGTGGATTGCTCAACTCCACGATGAAGGAGACCCTGAGTTGGAAGATGTGTACAACTTTGTGCAATCTCTAAGGGCCCGATTCAAGGACATGACTAACAGAGAGGAAGCTGAAGCAGAGATCGGGGCTGAAACAGCACGGTCGCGCCCCCCCCCGAGCGTGTGTGGTTTAGAAGAGTGGCTGGAAAATTACGACGCTGGCCTAAGTGACTCTTCGTCCATTGTTTTAAGGAAGCTCTGGATCAGAACCTTAGGCAAGCTTGCGCCTACAGGGGCTCCCAACTGGATCCAAGATTGGTACCGGATGGGGGTGACTGTAGACTTGGAAATTCACCCCTACTGGAGTTTGACTCAAGAAAAAGCCTCTAAGTGGCTCTTGAGCTGTAGACCAGCCAGAAATGTGCCAGTAGAGGTGAAACCTGCGGCAAGCCTCAGAATCAAGTATTTCAGATGTGGCCAGCAAGGTCACCAAGCTTCGGAATGCCTTGTGCCGGCTCCTGTTCTTCAGACGATGCCAACTGCAGCCAAGTTGAAGAGAAGTCCCCAAAAATTACCTGACAAGGGGAGGTTCGCAATTCCGGCCCCAGAAGTTATTGACTCCAGTGGGACTGGAGATGAGGACCCGATGGTAAGTGGAGCCATCCGCCCCTTTGTCATAAAATCTCATATGGGGTGCCCCAAACCGGAGCCCATGGAGAGCTGGAGACCATAATAGACACCGGATGCACCTGGTGCTTAATCAGCTCTCAGACCGTGCAAAATTTTGAGATAAAAACAATAATTCTGAAACACTCCATCCACTTTGAACAAGTAGATAATTCACTTATTGGGGGAGAGCCAGCGACTTTAGTCACGGAACTTCTAAAGCTGGAGATGGTGTGGTACTGGGAACTGGTACGACTTGTTGATGCCCCCCAAATGACTGAAGCCCTCATTCTCGGCTTGGCTTGGCTAGACAAATAGGCCCCCACCATTACCTGGGAAGATGGCTACTGTAAGCTAAGGATAGGCATAGGCCCCTTGCCTCCCCATATGCAATATGAGAGCCAGCCACCTTTGGGACCCAGGGATTGCAGTCAGAAGGAGGGAGTGGCCTCCACAATGGAGGGACTGCCCGGTTGCCTGCAGATACCCAAAGAATACCAGGACTTAGCAGAGGTATTTAGCGAAGATAAGTGCAATGTACTGCCGCTCCTGACCCACTGACCGCACAATAGAATTCATCCCAGGGGCAAAACTGTGAAAGCCAAAAATGTACACAATGACCCCTAAAGAAATGGATGAATTGAAGAAGTACATTGATGCCAACTTAGTGAGAGGATTCATCCAGCCAGCAAAATCTCAGGTCCCCATATTGTTTAAAGAGAAGAAAGATGGCAGGTGAACTCTGCATTGATTTTTGCGGGAAAAACGCTGTTTGTGTACAAAATACCTATCCCATCCCCCTCATGAAAGACATGCTTAACCATCTGGTGAAGAGTAAGGTGTTTATCAATCTAGACCTATTACCATGTGCAGATAAAAGAGGGAGACAAATGGAAGACTGCATTCAATTGCTTGTTAGGCAGTTTCCAGTTTAAAGTCATGCCTTTTGGGCTACAAGGAGCCCCCTACATGAACACCTATGCAAGGGGTCTTCATTTATTTGTACGACATTCTCATCTTCAGTGAGACCATGGAGGAGAACATTAAACTAGTGGGACAAGTGGTTAAAAAATCCTTGTGCTAAGCTTTATGCCAAGCTGTCAAGTTCCATAAGACTTCCCTGGGCTACAAAGTGTCAAACGAGGGAATTGAAATGGGTTAGAGCTGTGCTGGACTGGCAGCCTTATCGCACCTGCAAACAACTTCAAAGTTTCCTGGGTTTTGCAAACTTCTACTGGCAGTTCATTCCTGCATTTGCTGAGATAGCCTTACTACTAACTGAGATGTTAAAAACCAGGGGGACTGACCCTAAGCCCAAACCCAACCAACCACTGAACTGAACACTTGAATGTCAATGAGCTTTTGAGAAGTCGAAGGGACTGTTCTCTAAAGAGCCAGTCCTGCTATACCCTGACCCTGACTGGCTGTTTGTAGTGCAAGCGGATGCCAGCGATGTCACTGCCTCAGTGCTTCTGCAGGAAAACTCCCTGGACCAGCTGCAACTCTGTGCTTATGTGTCCAAAAAGCTTACCGACACTGAGAGACAATGGGTTATCTGGGAGAAAGAGGCCTTCACGGTCAGGTGAGCTGTCCTCTCTTGGAGCATTTCTTGGAGGGCAGCAAAGTGCCTTTTGAAGTCTGGACTGATCACAAAAACCTAGAGGCACTGAAGACTCTGAGAAAACTAAGCAAGTCCACTGAGTACAATACTTTAAACACTTCAACTTTGAACTGAAGCATATCCCAGGTGAGAAGAATAAGCTGGCTGATGCTCTGTCAAGGAAA